TTGAGTGGTGAGAACTCTTTTTATCATTTGATTATCTGGGAAACTCTTTATCACTACTTTAATTCTGAATGCTAACTTCTCTGGATAGAGTATACTTGTTGTAGGTTTCTGCCTTTCATCACTTTGAATATTTTGTGCCATTACGGTATCTGCTGAAAAATCAGCTGATGGTTTTATGAAGGATCCCGTGTACATAACGAGCTGCTTTTTCTCTTGCTACCATTAAGATTCTTTAACTTTTGGCATTTTAAATATGATGTGTCTTGATAGGGGCCTCTTTGGGTCCATTTGGCTCGGAAGTCTCTGTGCTTTCTGGAATTGGATGTCTGATTCCCTCAGCAGATTGGGGAAGTTTTCAGTCATTATCCATTTAAGTAGGTTTTACATTCCTTTCTCTCTCTTCTCCTTTTGGGACTCCAGTGATTCAAATGTTGGCACACATGATGTAGCTACTACAGGTCCCTTAAATTACCTTCACTTTTGAAAATATTATTTTCCTTTTGCTGTTCTTATTGACTTTCACTACCTTGTCTTTCAGCTTGCTGACTTATTCTCCTGCCTCAACTAATCTGCTGTTGATTCCCTCCAGAGTATTTTGTTTTCATTTCAATTATCATATTCCTCAGTTCTGATTGGTTGTTTTACATATTTTTCTATGTCTTTGTGAAGTTCTCACTGAATTCATCTATTCTTATTCCAAGTTCATGGTGCATACTTCTAACCAGAGTTTACTTTTAACTCTTTATCGGGTAAATTGCTTATGTCTGTTTTATTTACTAGTATTTATTTATGTTTCCTGATCCTTTATTTGGAATACATTTCTCTGTCTCCTCCTTGTGGCTGTCTCTCTCTCTCTGTATTTGTTTCTATGAATTAGGTGAAACAGCGACCTCTCCCAGGCTTGAAGGAGAGACTTGTGTAGGAGCCTCTCCTTGCAGACTATGTGAGCCAGGTGTTTATACCAGGCTGGCCGGAGCTGCAGTGGGAATGGGCCATGGGGAGCCCTGTGGGTAAGGGGCCTTGAACTGGAGTGGGAGTGGAAGTCCTGAGGACAAACCACAGAGCTGGTGTGAACCTGGGGTCTGGGGCCTGAACCTGGTGTTCACCCTGACCTCCAAGGCTGGCTGGCTGAAGCACCTGAATAATGTCCTGCCCCTGAGATCAAGGGGTAGGGAGAGTGTGAATGAATGACTGGCTCTTCCCAGGGCCCCGATACCAGAGTGGGTTCCTGCAGTTCCCTTCCCACGGGCAAATGTTCTCGGTTAGTAAATGGATTTTCCTCCTTATAGTCTTGGTGCCCTTTCAGCCTCTGTTTTTTCACTTTACCCAGAATGGGCGAGTCTGCACATACACCCTCAGGGAGCCCTGCCCACTGCAGGTCAGTGCTGGGGTGCGGTGTCCATGGTGCCATGTCTCTGTCTCTCCCCCGTGTGTCTATGGGGTTTCTCTCTTATTGGTTGAGCCGAAGTTGTTTAGTCAGCCCTCATTTCCTCTCCAGGGGGAGCTGCTCTGTCTGCAGGTGGAAATTTAATGTGAAATGGGGGGAGGTGTGCTCAGGGCTTTCCTTCACTGTCGTCTTGGACTGGGAACCCTTGATTGATTTATTGTTTTATCTGTTTCCCATCAACTACTTCCTGTCAGTTTGTTTCTATTGCTATAGTTTTTTTTTATGTATTGCCTTTTAAAACTTAGGAATGAAATTATTACATAAAATATTTGAATGTTCCTCAAGTTAAAACCATTAAGTAAGATGTATATTCAGAAAAGTACAGATTCCTTCAACCTATTCCCTCATTTTGCCCTGTAGACAACCACTTAAATATCCATCCCCTGTTTCCATAGATAGATGACTGGTAGGTAGAATAGTAAATAGGCAGGTGAAATGAACAGGTTTATCTATATGTCCTTCTCCTCCTCTGTCTTATTAAACAAAACGCTGCATAAAACTCTGCTGCTCCGTGCTCACACGCATTGGGAGGCCACCCCACAGGAGTCTCCCACGTTCCCTCCAGGGCAGAGGATCGCACGCTGGTGGCACATCAGGGAGCCACACGCTCCCCAGGTGCCCAGCAGGGGCCCTGGTTGGTGCTCAGATCAGGTCCACACAGGGTTTTCTGTGACAGACAGTGAGTTTGCCCACAAGCTGGAGGCCTCAGAAGCACACCTTTCCCACTGGAGTGGCCGCTCTGTCCTGATGGCCTCCAGGACCTGCTCACGGGGAAGGTGCAACTGAAGGCAGAGTCAGCACAGCAGGCATTTATCTGAGTCACAAAAAGACTGAAGTGTGGCCAAACCGGTTTGGCTCAGTGGATGGAGTGTCTGCCTGCGGACTGAAGGGTCCCGGGTTCGATTCCGGTCAGGGGCATGTGCCTTGGTTGCGGGCACATCCCCAGTGGGAGGTGTGCAGGAGGCAGCTGATCGGCATTTCTCTCTCATCGATGTTTCTGACTCTCTGTCCCTCTCCCTTCCTCTCTGTAAAAAATCAATAAAATATATTAAAAAAAAAAAGAGTGAAGTGTGGAAGCCACTATTAGTCTCAGAAAAGGGATTTCAAGAGGCACTGGGTTTAGGTACCTTCTTTTAAAAATTTACAGAAAAAGAGTGAAACGAACATGGTTATAGAAACAATGAAGACATCATATCGTTACAAGTGGCTTGCTTTTCTTTTATTTTTAAAAAAGAAATATTTTGTATTGATTTCAGAGAGGAAGGGAGTGGGAGAGAGAGCTAGAAACATCAATGATGAGAGAGAATCATTGATTAGCTGCCATCTGCACACCCTCCCCTGGGGATTGAGCCAGAAACCCAGGCATGCTCCCTGACTTGGCATTGAATGGTAACCTCCTGGTTCATAGGTTGACACTCGACCACTGACCACACCAGTGGGGCTAGCCTGTGTTACTTATACTTGCTGTCCCCTCTGTATCTCAGGGGAAAGGAACCTGAAGAGAAACACTGAAATAGGAGACCACCGTGTTCAGGTCCATAGCAGGCTCTCTCCTGGCTCAGGAACCAGGCCGATTACAGGAGGAAAAACTCATGAAAAAGCAGGACGGGAACAAGGAAACCTTTTCTTCCTACTTCCTGTCCTTGAAGCCTGTGAGGCAGATGATTTCACTCCATATTTAATTGAGGAACATTTTGTAAAGAAATGTGAGCAGAGGTGAGCTAAGGTGCTCAGCAGACAGCGAGGGTTGAACACACAGGGACAGGGAGGGATGGAGCTAAGGGTCTGCAGTCAACACTGGGGCCTCCAGGTCCAGGGCAGGAGGAACCAGCAGGGAGGAGCTGCTGCAGGACAGGAGCCAGAACTCAGCCAGAGCCCGAGGCGGCTCTCCTGTGGAGTGAGAGGCCAGCAGG